ACAGGCATAAGCCACTGCACCTGGCCCAATATATCCTCTTTTTAAGGCCTATATCCAGTTTTAGATTCTAGCTGGAAAGAGTAGGGCTAAACCCCTGGAGTGGGGAACTTTTAGGGGAAATTAGGTTAAGAACAGTACTTATGCTCAATATAAAATATCCCTCATCTGTCCCTGAGAGGCTGGGGACACACTAGAGTATTAGCAAAGCACTCATATATTAACTTATTTAATCCTCACAACCATTCTAGGTAATGGGTCTCATTAGCCTCATTTTACAGATAAGGACACGGAGGCACAGAGCGGCCAAGAGACTTGTGCTCATGAAGCGATTAAGTGGTAGAACTGGCTGGCAAGCCATGTGGTTGGCTTTAGTGTCTGCTCATCACCACCCACTTCCCTAGGTTTATGCTTTTTTGTCTCTAACCTATTCAGGTGTCCTCCTGGGTGGTAAAAGAAATGGTCAAGAGTTAAAACCTTTTATTAAAAAAATTAAAAGCTGTTATTATTTTACTTTAGTCACTAGTTAGGCTGAGACACCACCATTAATTTGGATCCTTGTTAGATGTGCTAAGTCTTCATCTTGCCTGTAGGAGAGAGAGACGGGCATAGTTAAAACAACTCGCCAGTCAATAATTAAAAGAAATTGTTCACAACTCACTCAACTTTGCCATCTGGTGGCTAATATTACCATTATTTTTTTTAATTAAAAAATATGGAATGCTTCATGTTGGAACATCACATTGTGCATCACCCTTGCACAGAAACCATGCTCATCTTCTTGGTATTGTTCCGGTTTAATACATGTGCTGCCAAGGCAAGCACAGGGGGCTGATATCAAATCCCAGTCTCTGATAGTCTTATTGATTTATTTATGCACCTACTCAAGAAATGTGTTCTTTGCAGCTTGGGAAGCATCATACATATTCACACCAGTCCTTGGGAAGGAGGTAAGTCCAGCACACCTCCCTCTGTAAAGGGAAAGGTTCAGAGCATGGTTTGCTATTAAGAAAACAAGTGTGAATGGGGGGAAAAAAGACTAGAAAACTGAGCAATAGACAAAATCCTAATTGTATTTACCATATACATGGCCACACCCTACTGTGCTACTATAAGATGGTGGCCCCCGGCCATTCTTCTCGCTGCCAGCACAGACCAGAGCCCTGGGCAGAGGCTCTGTCCCTACCTGCCTCCCTGGAAGTTACGCCTTGGTTCTCCATTTGAAAACTACAAACTTCAGAGCCCAAAGGACTGTTAGAAGCCAGTTGCCTCAAGCCCTTCAATTTACAGCAGGGGTCACCTGGAGATCATAAGCGTGTAAGGCAGGGGAAAAAGAAGCTGGAATGTCAGTGAGGATCTGTAGGGACTTCTGTCCCATTTCAGAACGGAAGCCTCTTCCATGTTGACTTTTGACTTTTCTCCACTTTGCAAATTTCCCATAGTGTGATTCTATTAATTAGTAGTCTAAAACATAGTCAGTTTTTGTTCACTTCTCCTCCAGATGCCACTTGGTTCCCAATATCCCTAAAGACTACATTAGCTTCAAGTCATCTTGAGTTCCCCTAAACATTCCTTTTCTTCCCATTTACCCTCATTTATTTCAGTTTATGGAAAGAGGACCATCCCCATTAGCTCAGGTGAACTGGAAAACACAATCTATTTATATCAATAGCACAGGTGTATTGGGCTAGTGCTGTTCTAAGAGTTTTAGAGCTCTTAGACATAAAACCCAGCTAACCCTCAAAACAATCCTGCAAGGTGGGTACCATCATAATTCCCATGATAAAGATGAGGAAACTAAGGAATGGAAAAGTTAGGGACATGTCCCACAACCAGTAAGCACTGTTAGGGACCAAGAAGTTCCACAGTGACTAGTTTCCTGATGACCTGTTTCTGTCTCTTTGGTGCCCACTCATTTCATTTTTGATGAAAAGCCACAAGTCAACTGCTTGGGTCACACATGGTTCTGAAAGTCCTATACTGTTCTGGGTTCCCAGGAACAGAACTCCTGACTGCTCAGGAAGAGATTATGATTCTTCCGCCTGCCAGCACTACTGGCCATCCCTTCTCAGTGCTTCTAGTGCCAGCCTTCTCATCCCAATTCCCTATTCTACATTGTTATTCTTAATCCATTGTGTGTTGGGAAATCAAACCACTCAGCAATGACATTCTGAATTAAAAAAAAAAACACATACACGTGTAATAAATACCTGTTAGCTTCATCTCTTTCTGACTTGTAGCTCCAGCTTTAAAAACTAAATTAGGAATCATGGCAGAGACACCCTGGGGGAATTTGGGGGGGGCACTTTACCATCAGGAAAGGGCATGGACTTTAGCACAAAGCCTCGGCAGCAGCTAAGCTAACTCATCAGAGGCTTTCCTCAGTCTTCCAGGTGTTCTGGAAGTTCTGGGCAGCTACCTGGAGAGGGCCTGCTGGATAACTGAGGTGTTTACTTGTAGAGTCTCATTGCATTCACGTGACCCTAGGAAGAACGGAATGGGCGCTGCATTTCCAAAGAAGATGCCCAGATGAAATTCATATCCATGAGGTTTCCTTGAAGGAAGCAATTTTTAAAATTTGACCCCAGAGACTCTCCAGACTCACAAAGCATTTCTGGGTGACTAGGGACTTAGTTTCCTTTCATAAGCTGCTCAGCCTAAGAGAAAACCTCAGCAGGTGCACACATGCTTTCCTTCACTTGAGGAGCTCTGCTGGCTGGAGGAAGGGGGCATTTGTCTTGACCCAGTCATATGCCTACCTGGTTCCTCTCTGGGCCCAGAGAAGCATTTCTGAGATAGTCACACTAGGCTAGGCATGTGACATTACTAAGGCATGTTGACTTGGGGAAAGATTAGGAGAAATAGAGCCCTGCACTGTGTGGTAGAAGACCCACAGTCCTTCTGATCTTTTCTTTATAAGCCACTCCACGACCTTGTGCAAATCACTTAATCTCTGCCTCAGTTTCCTCAGTTGTAAAATAGGATATACCACCTGCCCTACCTTTATCTGTGAGCTGCTCGATTAGATTAAGTTGGCTGCTGGAAGAATTGTAAAACACTATCTATCCCCAACAAGCCATAACAAAGCCTCACTTGGCCCTCCCAAGCAGGTGCAGCCCAAGTCATTGGAACGTTGCACCCACACTGCTAAGCTATGACTCTGGGTCACCATTCATGTCAGAAGCAGGAGCTGAAGGGGCTTGGGTCTGAAACTAGAAAGCCATGATCAGGAAACAAGAAGTCCCTTCTGGGGCTGGAGATAATGAGGTACCTCCTATCACCACTGGCCCCTCTTCTGGAGATAAAAGATCCTATTGAGGCTCCCGGTGTGAACCATGAGCAGGGCAGAGCTGGACATCCGTTCTCCCTCCCTGGCTACAGACCCCTGCAAAGAATAATCCTTTAACCCCATAATTGCCTTCCCTCCCTGAGAGAGCTGACCGACATCCTGCAGGTAATAAGCTAAAGGTGTTCTCAACCTCAGGAGACTTCAGCACTCACCTAAAAGTTAGTTCCCAAACTTAAAAAGTGTCTGGACTCCAAATATCAAGCTGCCAGTCAGAACAAAGGCTGCGATCTAGACCAGGCTGGACAGCAAAGCGAGACATCATCTCTTAAAGAATTTAAAAAGTTAGCCAGGTGTGGTGGTGTGCACCTGTAATCTTAGCTACTCTGGAGACTGAGGCAGGAGGATCACTGGAGCCTAGGAGTTCGAAGACACAATGAGCTAGGATCCCAACACTGCATCCAGTCAGGGCAACTGAGCAAGACCCAGACTCTTAAAAAAAAAAAAAGCTGTGATCCCTTTAAAGTCCTAATAGGCCACCATTACCTGCCCTTTTGGCAAAAACTTTTGGTCTCCCTCATGAGTGTTTTTTTTTTTTAAATACAGATTTTCTAGATTTTTGTTGTTTTAAATGAACAATCTCTCACTTAAGTGCAGACAGCCATCACATTTTCCAGAGGGAGAAATGGAAACAGTGGAAAGGCAAGTCATTTCGCCCAGGGTTTGCTGTTTTTCACAACCTCGCAATGAGGAGCTTCGCCTCAATAACTCAAGTCAAAATATATTAATAACTCCAAGGCTCAGAATCCAAAATCATCAGAAACCTGGAGAGGGAGCCAGCTGGACTCCTCACTCAACTGAACCTGGTTAGATCAGTAAATGCCTCCAGGCTGCAGTTTCCCCATTTGTGAACTTTGGGCTAATGAAGAAACCAGGAGAGACAGAGGCTTTGGATAAGTCCCAGAAAGGATACTACATCATCTCAAAGGATGAATTGCAACTTCCAAGAATCACAAAAAGCAGGCAAAGCTAAATGAAGATGCTTCTCTCCCTCCCCTCTAGAACTCATACCTTCACACAAAGAAAGGCCTTTAAAACACAATACTTTACAGTGGTGTTTACTAGGGTGGACAGCAACCTGTCCCGAGCCCTCAGGAGAGGCATATTTCTGGGCAATACGCCTCACTCAGTAGATAGCCCTACTATCTGTGGGTCCCCTGATAACTGCAGAAAATTGCCAGCTTCCTTCGCAGCCAAGGACTGTAACAGAGAAGGTAATTGGTTGCAAGTCGGATGACCCAACATGCAAAACGTAACCAGTGCTCCCAGAAGCTTGTAGGCACCACGTGGGAGAAAATAGGGTGAAACCACTGGGGCGTGGTCGGAACATTTTTACCGGGGAGAGCAGCGCGAGAGTATAAGGAGTAAAGAACAGGTGGCTCTTTCCTAACACACGCCCACCTAACGGTAGAGACTGGTTCTTGCTCAAAGATGCAGCCCTGCTCTTTCGATTGTGCGGTGAGCCCCAGCCGTTTGCAAAGGTGTGGTCAGCACGCAAAGACTTCATGCGTCATTTTGAGATTTTTAAAACGTTAAACGCCACCAGCAACCCACTAAGAATTAACTCTTGAGAGTATATGAACATATGTGTGTATAAACTGGAGGGCATCCGAGATCGCGTCTCCCACTAAGCCCTGGGCGAGGTGGAGAGCGTTACCTGGCCAGGTCGAGGAAAGAGTCCACCGTCTCTTTGGGGACGGGAGGAGGCCCCGAGTCCTCCAGCCCCAGGTCGCTGGACTGAAGGGTCTGCGCACCGGACCCTGGCTTGATGATGAATGCCAAGGCCACTGCGAGCGCAGAGGCACTCAGCGTGGTAAGGCCAAAGTAGGCGACGGCGATGCCGCCCAGACGCCCGAGGGCGCTGGCGTCGAGGGAGGCGGCGCCCGACACCAGGCTGCAGACCACCAGCGGCAGGATGATCATGCGCAGCATGCGGAGCAGCATCTCGCCGGGGAAGGCCAGGTAAGTGACCTGCGTGCGGCTCAGGCTGAGCCCGCGCAGCGCCGCGCCCAGGCCCGCGCCCGCCAGCACCCCGGACACGGTGAGCAGCACCAGCGCTTGGCGCCGCAGGAAGCCCGCACAACGCCCGGCGCGTCCCGCCGCGGTCCCTAGAGCTCCAGGCCCGGCCGCAGGCCCCGCCTGGGCGCTGTCGAGGTAGCCGTTGGTCTCGTTGCTTTTCTCCATGGCGCTGCACGACGCTCCCAGCTAGAGGTGGCGGGCGACGGCCACTGAGCTCCGCAGGTTCAGGGAAGCCGCCCCAGGGGTCTACGGGCCTGGAGCAGGACCAGGTGCGAGAAGGGCGACGAGAGGCGCAGAGTGCGGGCTGGAGCCACCGGCGGAGAGGATCGCGCCGCGCCCAGCCTCCCAGGGGCAGCCGCAGGCTGGAGATGATGCAAGGTGAAGCCGAGAGCGCGGACGCAGACCGGGCAGGAGGAGGGAGGGGGAGCGGCCCGAGCCCGCCCCCTTCACGCCCGCCGTCCCGCCCCCCCCCCGCGACGCTGGCCAATCACAGCCCGGGAGCAGCCTCCGGGCGTCTCCGGGCCGCACCCCGCTGGCCGGTGCCGGGAGGGGGCGGGTGGTCTGGAGGCTCCTCCGGAGGCCGCGGGGACGCCGAGGCACTAGGGCGCCGGCTAATCCCGGCGCCAACAGCAGCCTCTCCGCCAGGCTAACAGAGGCCGGCTCGGGGCGACCACAGGGAGGCGCGGGCTGAAGGACCGCACGGGCTAGTAGGCACCCACCGGGCCCTCTCCCGAGGCCGGGATCTGAGTCCTCCGAGCCAGAGGGCCCGGGATAACGTGGAACGCGGTGGCGTTCCTCCTCCTGGAGATTGGGGGAGGGTACCTTTCTCCCGGGAGGTGCTTTTGCCCCCGCGCCGCCCACGCTTTTTTACAGAGCTTGCCGGCCTTTCCCACCAAGGAGGGGTCCCTGGGCGGTCCTGCCGCCGCGTTTCCTCCTGCGAAAAATCTTTTCCTTCAGGGGTGCTGAGGCGCTCGGGTGGTAAAGCACACCATGGTGCCCAGCACGGTCCTGCCCTGAGACAAAGGACGAACGGGGGGAGGATGGATGAAATGGATGAATGAGAGGAGCCTTAGCACGTGCTCGTTAGGGCGCCAACACAGCCGTACCGCGACAAAGGGGGCTCGCGGGTGCCACCAAACCCGGTGTGCCTGGGCCGCGCCACTGCGCGCACCGGGGCGCTCCTGGGTGTGTGTGTCCTGGGGCTACCAGGATGGGGCTGGGTCACCCGCCCAGCAGCTGTCTGCGGTATGGTGGTGGAAGACTCAAAGCTCTTCTAGAAGAAACAGCTGTCACGCCACCACTTCCAGTTGGTTTCTGCCACGTAACCTAAGCTGAAACACAAGCCACTAGATTTTAACCTCTTCCATCCCCAGGCCCGAGCCCTGGCGTGAGAACAGCGCAGACGGTGGTTTGGCCAGTCTGAAGGCTTCCTCATTGTTCACGTTCTAGGGATTTCCTCTTTATTTCATCTTTTATTTGATATCTGATTTGGCCATGGGAGTTATAAGGGAAACTTCTGCTGAATCCTTTTACTGTGTCACAGTTATTATATTATTCTGCTTTTGAAAAGAATTGTTCTTTAAAGGCGTCTTTTTTCCTCCCTCCCTCCCTCCCTCCCTCTCTCCCTCCCTCCCTCCCTCCCTCCCTTCCTTCCTTCCCTCTTTCCCTCATTCCCTTTCTTTTCTTTCTTCTCTTTCTGGGACAAGGTCTTGCTATGCTGCCCAGGCTGGTATTCCAATTCCTGGGCTTATGGGATCCTGCTTAGTAGCTGGCACCAGCCACTGCGCCAGGCAAGGGGAGACTTAAGTGTGGGTAACCTCAATTAAGGAGGAAGGCAATTTACTATAGATTTCTTGCTAAAAAGGATGTCATCTTAAAACATGCCATGACAGATGTTTGTGCAAATAAAAATGTCTTTATAAGGAACTTTAAGGAGCTGTCCAAATTTTGAAACAGTGAGTGTAGTCATTGCTTGGAGCTAGCCAGCTATTGGCTAGAACTTGTAGGGGTGTGTGTGGAGGGGGAGGGATGGCGTAGTGTCAGATGAAGAGCTACACATATTTGTATCTGGCTTTCCAGAATGCAGTTCATTTCTCTATGTGCACTGAAGAAAGAGTAATTTCTACAGACAAACACCATGTTTTGCCAGTCAGCCCTTCCCTTTGTTTTGACTACCATGTTTATGCAAAAGACTCTTAAATCATGCTCCAGAAATGAGTCTCCAACTTCCTATTTTACATCTCCACCTGAATATCCTGCAGGCATCCCAACTTGAAATGTTCGAAACCAAATTCATGGTTGCCTTCCTCATGCCGGCTCATCCTTCTACTCCCCTATTTCTGTTAAAACATGATTGATGTTCCAGTCACCTCTGTGTGAAACTTCAAAGTGAACTTTGGTTCTTTCCTCTGTAGTGCCTTCTCTCATCTAATCAATTGCTAAGTCCCACAGAGTTTCCTTTCACAATATTTATCACATCTGCGCATCCCATCTCTTCCCACTGCTACCACACTGGCTCAGTTCTTATTTCCTCACTTCTTATCGGTGCTATTGAAATGTTCTCCTAATTAGTCTTCCCATCTCCGATGCTCCTCTTGTTCCAACCATCCTGTATTTTGCTTTGCCCCAGGCTAATCTTCCTAATGAGTAATATACATGTTAGGATAAGGTTCAGCTTTCATCCAGCAGAAAAGAAGGAGCAACGAGGGCCTGCCTTCTTCCTTTGTAAACACTTCCTAAAAATCACACACATTATTTCTCTTATATTTCATCAATAAGAATTTAGTCAAATGACCATACCTTGCTGCAAGAAAAGTTAGGGAATGTGATTTTTGTTTCACACAGGCATACACTCAGTTAAAAAATTTGGAGTTTCTGTTCCTAAAGGAGCATAGACAAATGATATTGGAGGACAACTTCATATCACTTCTTGATCAAAAGCTTTCAGTGGCTCCCACTGAATTAAGAATGTGTTCCTCATCCTGGCATTCAAGGCCTACCATGATCTGGCCTCAGCCTGCTCTCCAGCCTTGTGCCTTCTAGGCCTCCTGCAAAAATGGGACTGTGTGCTGCCTCCACATTGTTTTGCCCTCCATCCAGTCCCAGTTTAGATACCACATTTCTCCCATAGACTTTCTGAACCCCAGTTGCACCAACTGTGCTTGCTGCCCGTGGCTTTTTGTGCAGTACCTGTGCACTCCAAAGCTGCAGTAATAGTCAGTCAACCCTCAACTGGAAGTGGGGAACTCCCTGAACTATTTAGCCATAGTGTGGTGCTAAGTGTGAGAGCACTGTTAGGGGGTGCCTTATACTATGCCACGTGTATCCGTCATTGAATTAGCAAGAAGGAGCTGGTCTCTTGGGGCCTTTTTATCTCTAGAGGGTTGCCCTGTAGCCACTCTGCCGAGTTGTGAGGCAAACTAAGAAACAGGTGTCTTCTGGCCTCAACAACATTTGGGGGTGTTACCATATCTATGAGAGGGTTTCACTTTCTGCCACTTTTTTCTCTCTTTTCTTAGTTCCTCTCCTTTTGCATTTTTTGTCTTTTCATAATTTGACATGCCTCCTGTTTATAGGTATTTTGTGCAAAATAAAGTTGATTCCTGTGTTAGACACCTTCCCCCACAGTACTTACATGTGTTCCCCCTGGTTTCTAGGTGCTTAAGTACTGAATTATAGCAATGCCTTGCAAGTGATCCAGCCTGATGGCATTACCACCACTGTCATCTGATCCCGTGATAGGCTAGAGTATTGTTCAGAAAAAATTTTTCCCTTGTTTCTCCCACTTAGATAGGAGTTTACTTACCCCATTGCCTTTGAGGTTGGCCATGTAGCTCCTTGGCTAGTGGACAAAGTGGATGTGATGCAAGCAAAGGCATCGAAATGTTTTCACACAGTCGCACAGGGACTCCTGCATACATGTGACCCAGCATGCCTTGGATAGATGCTGCCCTTTCAGCCTGGCACCAGAACAAAGACAGGAGTGTGTCTGAATTTAACCTGCATCCCTGACAAACCCAGCTGCCTCATAGCCTAAAGAGGAACACCCCAGTCAATAAATGCTTATTGAAACCCACTGAGTTATTCTGGAGTACTGTATTATTGTAGCAATAGCTGAGTAATATAAATGCTGTCTTCAACATCTGCTTCAATGATCTATTGCTGAATAACCAACCAGCCTAAACCATGCTGGCGTAAAACAACCACCTCAAAAAGAAAAGGCATAAAATGACCACCAATTTTTTATGCTCATGATTTTATAGGCCAGAAATTCAGACCAGGGATAACAGAATGTCTCCTTTCTGTTTCACAATGACAGAAACCCCAAGCTGGAGTGGCTTAATGGCTAAAAATGGCTAGGACACCTCATTTGGGCTCCTCTGCCTGTGGCCTAGGTTCTGGCTATCTTTTAGGATCCTCCGTTATTTCCCACATTGCATCTGTTGAGTCTGGAATGTCCAAGATGCCTCTTTCATTCGTACAACTGGCACCTTGGCTAGTGGGTTTGGATCCACTCGGGCTAGCTGGGCATCTCTCGCTCTCTCACTGTGGCTAGTGTGAGTTCCTCACAGTATGGCAATCTTGGTGAAGTCAAATCTCTTGTGTAGTGATTGACTTCCCCCAGACTGAATGTCTAAGAAATGTAGGTCGAAGCTGCAAGACTTCTTCTGACCTAGCCTCAGAAGTCCCAGAACATTACTTCCTTCTCATTCTGTCAGTCAAGCAAATCATTAAGGCCAGCCCAAATTCCAAGGAGAATTAGACCCCACCACTCGATGGTGGGAATAATCGAGAATTTGCAGCCATCTTCAATCCATAGTAACATTCCTGCTTAGTACCCATGTTTTGTGGGCCAGAGCAGCACATATAGGTCACTACTTGCCCTAGCTCTGGTGACTCTTTAGACAACTCCATTAGAAATTTGCTTTGGACAGTCTCTCAATAAATGGTGCCGCGTAAACTAGATGTCCATATGCAGAAGAATGCAATTAAACCCTCATCTTGGCCGGGCATGGTGGCTCACGCCTGTAATTCCAGCACTTGGGAGGCCGAGGTGAGTGGATCATCTGAGGTTGGGAGTTCCAGACCAGCCTGACCAACGTGGAGAAACCCCATCTCTACTAAAAATACAAAATTATCCAGGCATGGTGGCTCACACCTGTAATCCCAGCACTTGGGAGGCCGAGGTGAGTGGATCATCTGAGGTTGGGAGTTCCAGACCAGCCCGACCAATGTGGAGAAACCCCATCTCTACTAAAAATACAAAATTAGCCAGGCATGGTGGTGCATGCCTGTAATCTCAGCTACTCGGCAGGCTGAGACAGGAGAAATCACCTGAACCTGGGAGGTGAAGGTTGCCATGAGCTGAGATTTGTGCCATTGCACTCCATCCTGGGCAACAAGAATGAAACTCCATCTCGAAAAAATAAATAAATAAAGTAAAAAACCCTCATTTCACACCAT